GTGCCCGGGGCTGGCGCTGCCAGTAGCGTGGTCAGTCGCTCCGGCTGCTGGTGAACTCGTGCGTCTGCTTGGGGCCTTCTGGGTTTCTCCCGTGGAAAGTGGGATTTAGAGACACAAAGCCTGGGCTTGGTTTGAGGCGCGGGGCAGACTTCATCTTTTCCCTGGCGCAGCAGTGCCCGAGGCGCATTCGGGAGACCTGGGGTGCGTATCCTCTGGGTGAAGGGTCCCCGGTGTGACCCGGCTTGCCCTGGACGGGTTGGTGGGAGGCTCGCCGGAGTTTCAGGAGCTGGTTTGTGGCTGTGAGCCAGAGCGCGTCTGCAGCTGCAGGCACCCGGGGCCTGACCAGCGGGGTCCCAGCGGGCCGGCCAGCCTGGCTCAGGGTCTGCAGCCTCCACCTGCAAAGCCACCTGTGCAAATGTGTGTGTGCATGCGTCTGTGTGGGCCCGTGCAGTGCCTGCAGCCCCATGCACGTCCCCGAGCCCATCTGTGGGGCATATCTGTCTGATGCCATCCGGTCCCGCTGTGCAAGGGGCTCGACTCCCTGGTGCTGGAGCCGTCTGGGAGGTGGGGGTGCCGGCCGCTCCCTTTGTGATCCCAGCACGGGCTGCCTGGGTCAGGCCGGAGACCCGTGGGGGCTGCCAAGGCCAGGGAGCTGCTGTCCCCGCTGCTTATCTGCTGGCAAGGCCGAGGCAGCCCCATGCTCTTCCCCCCCGGCTCGTACGTCCCAGCGCCTGTGCAGTCGTGCATTGATGCCAGTGGAGCTGGTGCTGGCAGGTGCAATGAGGTGGCACCAACCGGCCCCCTGCCGTGCTGGCCCCGGGGGAGGGCAGGGCTGGGAGCTCCGAGTCGGGGGCCAGGACGCAGCACCCCGGCCAAGATGCCCTGACGAGGACAGGGCGCCTGCGGGCACCGGCTCACCCACATGCGCCTCTGCAGCTGGGCCACGCACCCGCTCTCGGGGGCAGGTGGCTGTGCCAGGGCAGCGAGGCGCTTTGGGCCACGGGTGCTGGCGCAGAGCCCTGGAGGGACGCGCGCGGTGTCCGCGTGCAGCTGTCGGTGGAGGGC